TTTTTTTTGATTTTTTTTCTTTTGATTATTTCAAGTTTCAATTATCTTTAATAAGTTTTAATTTCTTATTGTTATTATTAGGTTTGATTATGTATATGAAATTGTAAAAGACTACAAATTTTATGAGTTTTACTATGTTTAATTTATTGACTAAAATTTCATATTTTAATAAGTATATGAAAATTGGGTTTAAAATCTTGATCTTTCATGATTTTAGGGTTTAAAACGTATTGATCAAGTTATCTTACATATTATGTCTAAAATATGTTAAAGCATAATTATTTTGATGATATATATATATAAAATTTTAGATTTATTAAAGTTTCAATTTTAAGTTTAAATTGTATTATTATTATTTTTTTTTGACACAAAAACACCAAAGAGCTTCATTAAAAAGAGAGGAAATCAGGGTACATCAAGAGTAACAGCACATTCAACAAAAGGTGGAACAACATCAGTCCACACTTTTAAAGCACTGAATTTTCTACTAAAATTAATACAATTTATTTTGACACAAAAATATGAAAATAAATTGTATTAGTTTCATATTTTTATGTTCTTATTCTCATAAAACAGTAGTTGTGAGTATTTTATGATTATAAAGCCTTGAACTTTAAAGTCTAATTTCAAGAATTAATTTTCAGATTATTGTTTAATGTTTTGAAGTCTCTAATTACATTGAATTGGTGTATTTTTGGGTTTTAAGCTTACTAATCTAATATATGATGTAGGTAGTTTCAAAGATTGTTATGATTGTAAGATTTCATGAATAAAATATAATTTCAAATTTTGTATAAGGTTTTAAAATTGTTGTAATTTTATAAGTAAAGGTGTTTATTAAGAGTTGTTGATATAAATTCATAATAATACTTCTATACCATTAACTTAGAAGTTTGGGAGGTTTAAAAACGTCGTTTTAATGATTTTTAGAAGCTTTTAAAGTACATTAGTATTGTTGTAATTTATTGCTTGGGTATTGATTGAATTATTGTTATTTGGTCTAGGAAAGGACATTATAGAAGACGATTTCTAGTTTCTAACGTGGCTAACCAATTTGTTTACTCAAGGTACGTACAAGGATACAAAAAACCTTGACTTTAGGAGCATGTTTAAGGATTTGGAAAACTTATAATCGTGATTAGGAAACTTGTGGTTGATTGAAATTGTTTGGTAATAAATCTCTTTGGTATTTATGCATGAATGTGCATGACTTATAACTTTATGTATGTTACTTTATATAGTAAGTAATTTTATATGCATTAACTTGCAAGATGAACTTGGAGGCAAAAGTACATGATCATGTAAATTGAATTATTGTTACTTGTTAATGATTGTTAAAATGGAATGAGTACAAGAAGAATTGATGTCTTATAAGACGAGTTTGAGAATTTAAGGTGTCTTATGCACTCAAGGTGTCTACACACCGAGGTAGTTTAAGGGATTCAACACTAATTGTTGTTTGTCACTAATATAATTCAAGAATGGAATTGGAAATTTGAACTGCTTGAATGATTAATAATGTTGATTGGTTGCATTGTTCTCATGAATGAGTCACCACCAAATGTAAACCTGTAAATCACGTAAAGTATGAGATGGATGAGCAATAAAACTTTGGATTTGTGCACATCTAGAGTAATGACAAACAGGGGTTGGGGTATTGGCCGTGCACTTTTCTAGAGACCATTTTGATCTATGAGTCTCTTGTTTTCAAATACTTTTATTAAAATTATATAAGGACTTAGATGAGATCTCATACTAGATATGGCCACGGAGTCGCGCCTATCTGCCATTGGATGTTTATTGATGTTTTCGAAAGGAGGCACATGGTTTTTCTTTTATTAATGTTACAAATTGGAGCATGGGGAGACAACCTTGTTTATTGCTTAATCCAATGAATAAAATGAAGGAAAAATACACTTTAATTATCCCAACTATTGGTGATTTACCTACAATAATTCCAACTAAGGTTTATTTTTTAAATAATCCTAACTATTAGGTCAGTTTTCCTCCAGCAGTCCCAAACCGGTTACCTGCTAAAAAGGTAAACTCTTTTTTTTTTTTTTTTTTTTTTTTTTTGCTTTTAAATGCCACATATTAGCACATGATTGTCTTAATTTGAAAAAAAAATAAAAAATAAACAAAAATTAGCCCGGTCACCCTCTCCTCCCTTAAGCCACCATGAAACCCAGCCATCAGCCCCGACACCGTTTTTCTTCACCCAATGCCGCGACTTCGCCGTCTCCACCATTAGCCCGATCACATGTCCCCTCCGACCACCCACGGCCTCATGTTGATGTTCACGACCACCACAAAACTCCCTTCTCTCTCCCTCGAACAAAACCAAGCAACCACCAGCCATTAAACCCCCAGCCCTCGATACCACCCCTAAACCTCCCCTGATACCGCGGGATCCCCGCAAAACCACTGGCTGCCCACAACATTGTCCGATCCCCGCAAAACCGCCCCTAAATAAGCCATAGCCAATAGCCCTATCTCGAAACCTCCGCCCATGACTAAGGCCCCAAAATTAGAAACCGTCCACCTCCCCTCCCCCTCGCCCCGAAACCACCCGTAACACTAACCCCAGCCCTCGAAATCACCTCTCCCACCCCGAAATCACCAAAAATGTAACTCCCCTCCCTTTCTTTATCCTCCATATGCCGAAAAACGAAATTAAAGGGGGTGAGGGAAGGTTTCCGGCATGGTGGGAAGGAAGGGAGGGAGGTTGAGGTAGTTTCGCGAGTGATCAGGTGGTTATTTTTGGTGGAGTAGAAGGGGAAAGAGGAGGTTTCCGGCGAGGTGGTGGCTGGGCTAGGGGGCTTGGAGGTGGCTGGTAACTTCGTAGGGAGGAGAGGAGTTTTTTTTTTCGGTTTTTTAATTTTTATTTTTAAATTTTTTTTGAACCACTCATGTACTGCCACATGTTAAAGCAACCTGTTACATTAGGTTGATGACCGGCTGGGACACTTGGAGGAAAACTGACCTAGTAGATAGGTTTATTAAAAAAATAAACCTTAGTTGGGATTATTGTAGGTAAATTAGAAATAGTCGGGATTATTAAAGTGTATTTTTCCTAAAATGAAATGAAATAGACAATATTAATTGGAGAAGTCATAGAGATGTTAATAATAAAATCATGTATTTGATGAGTTAGTAATTAAATTGTTTGTGTGTTGTTTGATAATTAGTAGCATCCTAGGAATTTTATTGTAATATTTTGTAGCTTGTATGTACTCAACGTAGTTGATATATTGCGTGCTTTTGTGTATCTTTTTCTTGCTCATGGCCTTCGCCTTTCAATGACCCTGTAATGCTCCAATATTTACACTTGTAATATATATTGGGGAGCAGACTTATCACAGGTGTTTGCATAGTTTGGACTAGCATCAAGGTAGCGGGAATTTCAGAGGATTGTTGGTTATTACTCGTAGTTTATTTCTTTGCATAAACATGGATTTTATTTAAACTATGGTTGAATTATTTACTACTTTGATTAATTGGGTTTTGAATAAGGGTCTTGATGGTTCCAACTTGTAAAACTTAATTTGGTGTTGTATGATTGTGTGCTAATTGAATTTCTTTATAATATACTTGTGCCAATTCTTAATATGCTTGTTATGTTGGGATCGCATAGAGAGGTTGACAAAAATCCCGTGAAGGTGACTAAGCATAATAATAAGGAAATAGAAAGCGGTTACAGCATGGACTCTTGGGATGAGTGGACCTTACATCCAAATCAAAATGATGAAAGTGAGATACATACCAGGATTGGTACGAATATAGAACAACTTAACAGAACAAAAAGAAGACCATTCGGAGAATCCTTAACCAGATATCAGATGATGAGGAGGACTTAGAACCACCAAAACCACAAGTTGGGAAGAGGACTACTAGTAATCTCTAGTAGTCCTATTCCCAACTTGTGGTTTGGATTTCCTGATTATGCTACTTCACCTTCATTGGATTTTTGTCCATCTCTCTACGCGATCCCAACATAACAAGCAATCAAAGAATTGGCACAAGGTCATAAGCACATCATAAAGAAACTCAATTAGAACACAATAATAAGCAACTTGCAAAATAATTAAATAAATGCAAGGTATTCAGTATGCATGCATGCCCTTTCTAATTCGACTCAAATCTCACCAAATAAATAATCCAAACTTCGAAAATACTTTATAAACTTTAAAAACAATTACATTTCAAACACAATAAGTTTTAAAAATCATTTTCAACTTTCAAATTCAAGATTCTTAATCAATTATTTAGGCGCCTAAGACATACTAATTGACTTTAGTGGTAATTAAATTCAACCTAAGCTCTCAGATATCACTTTAAGTGTCGTGGTAATTATAAACTATTTTTATAGTAACTATAACCACTTAAAGGTTAACTTTTAATTTGTCGTTGGTTTGAATTTTATTTGAACGTGCAATTTCTTATAGATACGTGATTACATTTTATAAAAACTAATATGATTAATCTAATATATTTTAAGTTTTTTTTGTAAGAAAAAAAATTTATTAATTGAAAAATAATAACTTTTGCAATATAAAGGGGAACTGTAAGTACTTTTAACATAACTTTAACTCGTTTTACAATAAATTAATGTACACTCGTTGTACACAAGACTTTATCAAGTTTCTTTCATAATGTTTGCTAATGCACACCTTTAACAATTAATATGTTTAATTATCAACAAGTAAAATTATGAAAAGTTTTGATACATCAATAAAATTTTACATGTTAAAGTAAAATTCGTACCGTAAATATTCTTTTCTTAAAAAAAAAAACATTATAGCAATATATAAAGTGAAAGGGGTTTTGGATGATAAATTTTTCTTTTCTAAAATACCCCTCTCATAAAAGCTACCTACGTAGTTTTTTTAAAAGATTTTTTAATTAGAATAAAGGAAAATCGAGCTAATGTGTGTGTGTCATAGCTTGTTTATAATAAACTCAAAAATCATACGAAGTACTTTTTTAATGAAAAAGAAAAAATCACTAGTTTTCCAAATTAAAGCACAAAAATTACCCCAAAGCCCAAAATCTGTCCACCCTAGAGGCTGCTATTTTATGGAAATATGGACAGATGTTCAGGAAAAAAAAAGGAACAAATTACCCAGAAATTTGGCGCCTGAAAACCCATGAATTTCTTATTCTGAAATCAATTCAAAAAAATTTGGAAAAATGGAAATAGAAAGAACAGGAAGCGACATGGAAATGGAGAGAGAAGAAGAAGATGACGAAGAAACTCAACTTTTGAAGGATCGTTTTCGTCTTTCCGCCATTTCCATTGCCGATTCTGAAGGTCCTTTTCTCTCTCTTTCTTTCTCTTTCTTCTCTCAATTCTTCGATTTCTTACGTTTTTTTGTTCTTCAATTTGAGCAGCCAAGAAAAACGGAATGCAACCATCTGAATCCATTGTTGCGTGTATTTCCAATTTGGCGTTTAATTATGTTGGTAATCGCACTTGAAATTCCTTCGTTTCGATTTTCTTATGCTTTTCTAGGGTTTGCTAATTTGATTTTATTTTATTATGTAGGGTTTCGATTGTATATGGTTTTTTTATTATTTATAATTGTTTTTTTCTGAAGTTAGGATTTCTTTTGTGTTGCTTTGAATTTGGAATATTTTGATAGCAGTTAGCAAGTGTGATTTTTGAATTGAGAACAAGTGAGCTTGATCAAAATTTTGTAGCATTTGTAGTACCTGTTTCCATACGATTAATGTCAATAGCTTCTAACAATTTGTGATTGATTTGTAATAGTTTTACGCGTTTGTGGGTGACTTTTCTGGTTAAGAATGTGTATAGGACCATTTTTACATGAATGTGCATGGTAACTATCTTCAATATCAATTAGGTTTTCTTTTTTCATCGACTAGGCGTTGAGTGATTATGAATAGTTACAAAGAAAATTGCCCTACTGGGTAGTTCAATGATATGTCAAATGACAGATTACGTGGAATATGTAAAATTAGATAAGTGGTTGTAATGAAAAATTAAGAAGAAAAAAAATACCAATCTAGTAGGGAGATGATTTGGAAAGGACATTTTTAGGGGATATCTTAAGAAAAGTTATATACAATTTGCTACTATTGATTTATGACCTTGTAACAAGTTGATAGCTCTTCTTAGCTTCGAATCATTATGTTTTGTGCCTTGCATAAGTTGATGGATACCTAAGTGCTGATATACTAAACTCTTTTTTATGTCATCACTCATGCTTCTGGCTGTTCTGGGTACAATTGTAAATTATTTGATGACAATTTGATAGGATGATCTGAATCTGTAGCAATATTAACACTTTTAAGATGATAGATTTGTTTTTTGCATGCCACCCTTGTCATCTTTGGATATCAGGCATTCTGGATGCATATTGGATTTGGATTACACTCTTAAAATGGGAACTAAAATTGACTTTTTTGTGTCAAACCCGCTCTTTCACATGTTTTGTCTTGGAAACAACTTTCCTCAAATATGCTGCCCTGATGCCTCATAATCAACTACCCACAATATGTGCTGACTGCTCCTAGAGCTTTATTTTCCATGGCGAATGACTAGTTTTAGCACATGTTTTCCGTGATGAGATCAAGCACACATTTTTCATATGTATCTAGCAATCTTACTGTGTAACGAATCATGGGGGTTTACCTTTTGTATTACAGAGCATTTGGCCAAGGACCTTGAACTATTTGCACACCATGCTGGTCGTAAATTGGTGAATACTGAGGATGTTATACTTGCAGGTATTACATTCAGTTGTTTTAATGGAAACCACTAGTTTGGATATGAGGTTGCATGTGCTTTGTTAAACACGTGAATATTTATCATGTTTCTGTCACATAACTCTATTTGGTACTGTCAATTTTATAATTTTTACTTTAATTAATCACTCATAATATTCCAGTGGTTCTTCAGTAGTTCAGTTAACCAAGCATAAAGCTTCAGCTTCATCTGTTGTACAAGAATGTTTTGAGTTTCCATTTTCTTCTCTTTCTCCCTTTCTATTTTTGTGAGTTTGGGGGGGGGGGGGAGAAGAAGCTGACAGAACATCACTTACGATGCAGGCAAAAATATATTAAACATGTGAATTTTGAAACTGTTGTTTCTTATGAATCGTTGGTAGCAACAGATGTTGTGACAATACTTTCATAAGGTGATAATTATAGAAAAGTGGAAGCAGCAACTTTCTGTTACAGATAATCAAGAATACTGAAAACTTTTTTAGCAAGGCATCTAATGATACTTTAATCTGAATCTTAGAAGTCCTAAATTTCTGTTAGAAGGAAAGCAGTCTCTAATTTTTACAATAACATCCTAATCTATTTCTTTTCAAGAATTTCTGGACAAACTGATTACAAATGTTCAGACCAGGGCATGTCTTGAGGTTTATTCTTTGGAATAGTTATCTTAATAAGAATTATTAAAGGTTTAGACATATGTGATCTTTGCTGAAAATTTACTTATTTTATGATAAATGCATTGGTTTGCAACTTTTGATTGTAATGAGTTATGAATTTCTTTTAACATTTTTTATGTATATGGTTTGTCATCATATCCAACCCTTGTTTCTTTTTCCTCTGTTTAGTTTTATGTTTTTTTAATAACACAACATTATGTTTAAGCTGCTTAATTTATGTAGCTGTCTTCTCATCCCTTTTGAGTATAGTTTGGACAACAAACATCCTATACCACCAAACCTTCAGTTCATACATGGATTGTATCTGTCTCAACTCTCAAGTTGTCAAGTCTCAACTTATTGCCACCAAACTTTCTTTGAGTGCCAAACTCTTTTGCTTTACTCTTGCACATGTAGCTTGTTCATTATTGTGCTAAGCATTATACAATTATCACTAGGTATATCATTCTATCATCGCCAACTCATGTGATGCTTGGTTAATTAATTGTACAAGTTCAGTATCTTATTTGGTTGAAATAATGCTTGTGCGCATCCTCTATTCCTTTCTGAGCTATGTACAATCTAAAACCACGATTTGTCTGAGTAGCATGATGTATTCCAAAATTTGTTTTTGATCACCTTTTCAACCAACTGCATCCATCCCATAACAACAGGATCCACTTCACAACTTAATGACATTTTATTTCTGTATATGAAAGCATTGAGTAATATGTGACGTACAGTGCTTCATTTGTCTCATAAGAATTTTCCGTTTCCTTTTTATTACCTTGCCTCCCCCACACCCCCTCATGTACAGGGTGGAGTAAGCGGGGGTGTCACCTACAGTTTTAAGGTCAAACTTGGTAAAAAACCTATTTATTTTTGTGATGAACTGAAATTACTGCTAACTTACTCACACAAATAACAGTAAAATATAGAGAAAAGATTGGTTCTTTGATTAAACTAGATAAATTGATTTTTGGTTAATTGATTGAATGAGAAGAAATAATAAAGATTGAAGCTAAAAGATTGATTTTATATGGTAAAAGGGTTACAAAGATAGGTTAATAGCTTTTACTCTAAAAATAGCTTGAGGCTATCACTCTCTAACAATGGCATGAGGGCATAACTCTCTAGGTTTTCCTTACAACTTATTGCCTACCATTTTCTTTCCCCTCCCTCTCTATTTATACCAAGGACTATTAACCTAGTAAACTAATTTTACTACTAGAATACCCAAACTACCCCTCCTTAGGTTAGTCTATTACAATTTTCAGTTGTTAACAACAGCGATGAGTGCATCTTTTGGAATTTTGGACTTTGGAACGATCATGGTACGGGGATTTTGATTTTAAAAAAGGATTACGTTGTATTTGCTTTGAACGACCTGTAACCAGGACTATTGAGATTTCTTGTATGTTAGTGGAAGCAGTATACTTAGTATTCATGGGCATCTGATGATACTTCAATCTTAATTCTAGAAGTCTATATTCTAAATCATATCTGCATCCACTGCATTTTATGAATTTGTTAGATAAACTGACTACCAAAATGCTCAGGCCTCGGCTTAAGATTTTCTGTATTGATGGTTTTGATAAAAGATATATGCAATCTTCTTTGTGAAAAGTCACTTAGTTTATAATGAATGTAGAACCAGTTCGTGACTTTAGGTTGCAATTACTGATGAACAGATCTTATGTTGCCTTCTGTTCACTCATGGTTCATACCTTGTCTCAAACTGATTTGTCAATTGCCACTAATATTTATTTTGGTTAACAAAGCTTTTGCTTTATTCTTGCACATTTCATCTATAGAGTATTATTTGTGTTGAGTACCATACATTTATCTGTTGTTATATCATGCATATATTTTTATCATGTCTGATACATGCAGTCCATTATTTATTGACTATATTAGGATTTTTTTTTTTTTTAATTTTTTTTTTTTTTAATGTAGGGTTGATCTTTGCTTATGCTGCTCTTTGATATGTTAATAAAACACAATTCTTGTAGACAATATCCACTGATTCATTTGACTTAATCACAATCTAAATACACTTTAAGAAGCTTCAAGTCTTTTAAAATTCTGTTTTTCATCATCTCTTGAAGCTTGCATCTAGCGGTAACATGTATCCTTTGTTTGATGACAACAGCCTGACCAGCCTGACCAGCCTGTTATTCACAACTAAATGACTTTGGTGTTTGGTCACAGTCAATATACTAAACTTGTATTGATTTACTAGTATAGCCTTTCAATATGGACAACTTGTGATAGTCTTAAATTTTGTCTCAGCCCATCGAAATGAGAACCTTTCTCTATCATTAAGGACCTTCTGCAATGATCTAAAAGCCAAAGAACCTCAGTCAGAGAGGAAGCGGAAGAAAGCTTCTAGGAAAGAGGACAAAGCTACAACAAGTGCACTTGAAACTGCTGAACTCTTAAGATAGGTGAGTCTTACTTGTCCTATCATCCTATGTTAAGCACTTCGAGTTTAGCAGAATTATTTGTTATACTTATCCAGACTACCTTGTCTAGGAACGATCCTATTAGCCTGTTTCTTTGCCTATATCAGCTGCAGTGATGAAGGAAGGACTTTGACGTCTCTTTAAGCTATTGCATGGAAGGATAGTTCGGAGCTATGTCTAATATGTGGGCATTGAGCCCATGAAGTGGTCACATTGAGTTTAGACGAAGAGATAGTTTCAAGCTCTGTGAACGCTTCGTTTTTCCCCTTATCGATTTTGTATAGGTTAGTAACAGGTAGCATATGTTTATATGAGAATGTTATAAACTGATGCTCTTACAGGCAGTTAATATTAACTGCTTCGTAATACTTTAATCACGGTCATTACTGAAACAGTATGTTCATCACTGGTTACTGTTGACTTGTTTGTACAAAGTACTACTGTACTGTATTAACCTAAAAGAATTATGGCGTAATTACTTTTCTGTGACTTTAGTCCTTGTAAATTTAATGCATTTCCTTGATTGAGGAGGCAATACTTTCCTATGGAATCAGACCGTGTCCTATATCTGATACTGTATGAGTTCATCATAACCCAGAAATATTCATATATAGGGCATTTTTGTTACAAATAATTATTTTTAATTTAATTACTGGTATTATTATTTTGAATTTAATCATTTTTTTTATTTTTTAAATGATAAAAGTAAAATAATAAAGTGACATAGATTTCAATGTATAAAGTTGTAAAAGGAGATAAACTGAGATCAACTGGCGCTCCCTCTATTATTATTATTGTTTTTTTTTTTTGGAAAAATTGGTGAAAATAATCCCAACTTTGAGGCATTTACTTTTAATAATCCCAACTTTGTATTATTATTGAATAATCTCAACTTTATGGGGTATTCGCTTTTATTGGTCCCAAGTGACCGGTAACCTGTCAAGCAGGTAATATATATATTTATTTGTTTTAAAAAAATATGGCACCACTTGATTGGCTGAAAAAAGGCTAAAAAGAAAAGAAAAGAAAAAGAATTTTTTTTTTTGAAAAAGAAAAACCATCACGCCACCCCTCCCCAACCCCGCTCCGGCAGCCCCCTCCCCAATTCCCACACTCTAGCAACCTCTCTCCCTACACCCAACCTGCCAAAAAAAAAACCCTCCCAACCACCGAAACAGCTCCCCTTCCCCTAAATTGACCCGATTCCCACAACACACCCACGAAAACTATCCCAAAAATCCACCTATCCCCTTCCCTTCACCCGAAAACCACCTTTCTCCCTTCCCTAGCCCCGAACAACGTTTATTAGCGTTGGGGAAAGGGTAATGGGTGGTTTTTGGGGTGGGGGGAAGGGGAGGGGATGGTTTATTGGGAGGGTTTTTGGGGTGGGGGTGGGAATCAGGGGCGGTTCAGGGGAAGAGGGGTTGTATCGGTGGTTGGAAGGGGTGGGGAGAAGGGTTTCCGACGGGTGGGGCGAGGGGAAAGCGGCTGTCGGATTGTGGGCGGTGAGGAGGGGGCTGCCGGAGTGTAGGCGGTTGGAAGGGGGCAGGCGAATTGTGGGCGGTGGGGGTTGTTTGGTTTTTAATTTTTAATATTTATTATATATTTTTTTTACCAATTATGTTGCGACACGTGTCCCATAACCTGTTATAACAGGTTGGTTTACCGATTGGGACCAATAAAAGCGAATACCCCCTAAAGTTGGGATTATTCAATAATAATCCAAAGTTGGGATTATTAAAAGTAAATGCCTCAAAGTTGGGATTATTTTCACCAATTTTTCCTTTTTTTTTTTTTGAAAGATATTATAATACTACTAATTATTTTTACTACTCCTGTTATTTATTTATGGGGAGGGGCCTGGGGGGTGCTGGGAAAATGAGTTTGTGCCTTGGTTTTGAGTACCCATAAATTGATCATGCTAAATGATTAGATTGGATAACCCACTACTCCACTACTTTCCTTAAAACTTATTGTACCTTTTATTGTACCAGATTCAGTAATCCACTTAATTAAGGAAAATCTCTTTAACTTTTTTTTTCACATTGATACAATATACAGGTTTCATAATTAAAATTGTATCAATTGATTGGAGTGAGAGGGAAAGGAGGGATACTCATTTATTACTATAGCATTTTAATTTGTAATTTTAGTGAGAGATTATTACGAGCCGTAGGATTTTCATCTCACAATCAAGAAATTGAGGGTTTGATTTTTGAATTCTTTAACCCTTATAGTTGGTGATAAACTTGAAATATTAAGAGTAGTTTTATGTTGGGTGAGTTGCCCTCTAAGGCACTTACCATGTGTCTTTTGAGGTCAAAAAATTATGCAATTGCTAAAAAGTTCTTACTGTAATTAAAATGACTTTATCACCTATTTTGATGACGGATATTAATCAATGACTTTTTATGCAGATAAATTCAATCAAGTTTGGATATGGCTTTACCACCTATTTTGATGACGGACATTAATGCTTAATCATTCTTACGAGAAATATTAAGTCATAAACATCTACAATAATCAATATTATGAGAATTTTCAAAGACTTTAATGTAATGAAACTCAACCACGATTTTCAAGATATAAATGCTTAGGCCCTGTTCTCTTCACCTTAAAAAAATAATATTAAGTAAAAATAATTTCAGTTTAGTAAAAATAAATTCAGTTCAGTAAAATTAATTTCAGTTCAGTAAAAATAATTTCAGTTAAGTAAAAATAAGTTCAGTTCAGTAAAATTCAGTTTTCTTAAAGAAGAATTATAATAGAAAATCAGTAAAAATAATTTCAGTTTAGTAAAAATAATTTAAGTTCAGTAAAAATAATTTCAGTTCAGTAAAATTAAGTTCAGTTCAGTAAAAATAATTTCAGTTCAGCAAAATTAAGGTGAATCAAACAGGGCCTTAATCATTTTAAGGCTCAGCTTATTGCCATTTGGGCATCTCCAACCCCCAAAAAAAAAAAAAAAAAAAAAAAAAAAAATACTGAAACATGTGATTGGATTTATCGGTGGTGCCAATAATAAGAAGTCGTCCTAACAAACAAGTGAACAGGAGTATGGAGAGAAGAAGAAAATAGTAGTAGTGTGTACAACTAGTACTATAAAGAGGTTAAACATCTTATTTGGTGTGATGTATAACTTACAAAGTCTCATTATTTTTGATGTAAAATGCAAAAATAAAAATGTGGTCCAATTCTCATAATGTAACTATATGGTTTATGTGTGGCCTTTAGCCTTCCTTGAGAAAATGACTAATATAAGCCCATTACTTCATGTCTCCAAAGGATGCCTTATTTGGATGACACGTGTTCCATTTGTCTTCAATGGAGGACTTGTCACTACCTCTACAAATTATGTTTAGTGCCCCATGAGTTAATTCAATTGCCTTCTTTTTCTTCTTTTTATCATTCTTGTTTTAATTTCTACTTCCGGCTTTTTTTGGTGTATAGAGAGTCATAAGATAGTGACTTAGACGGGTTGCAAATTTACAAGTATAAGTGTTGGGTATAAAAGTGCTATGTCATGAGAGTTTATGAATTTAACTACTAGGTTGGTTCCTTAGTGTTTTTTACACTCAAATCGTAAGGGAGACCTTGTAAAGCCGTAAAGGTAGTGTAACAAGTGAGGAAAGGAGTTGCTTTGAGTCACACAATAATGCAAGTGGATAACTTATGATGGGCCAAATAAAAATAAGTTAGTAAAGGTTCCTTGTCAAAATGGTATAAAGTAGGAATGTAAATAACATTATGAAACGGGCTAATAGAGAAAACGCAAATATGCCATTTGGAAGTGTAGCCATGAACTCGGCATGAAGGCACAATCACTCATCGTGTATAACTTGCACTTTTTTTAATCAATACTTGGTTTTTCAAAAAATGGTAGGGTAAGATCACTTTGTACTCCACTACTTCATATTTTTTTAAATCGATTAGTAATAATATATTGACATTTCAAATCGACATATAATTTTGATCGTTTGTTAAATACTGGATAATGTTGAATGAGGAAAGAAGTTATGTGGTAAGACTATATCACTATACAGTACAAAGTAATAAACCAGCTTAGTAATATTTGAGGGGAAATGAAAGTACTCCCTCGCTTTATACTTTGACGTATATTTTTATACGTAAGACTACCACTATCATGCACTTTGTGCTACTGTGTATGACATAACCCGGGTTGGGTTGGACCTGTGAGAGGTCCCGGCCCGGTAGAGCCCTTCTCTTTACCGTAATAATAATAATAATAATAATAATAATAATAATAATAATAAATAAAATTAAACAAAAAAAAACTATGAATGACATTAATTTTTTTTTTGGAAATTCTCTTTGGTAAACTCCAACTTTTTAATTTTCTAAGTGGTAAACAAAGTTTTATAAAATTATCTTAGTACTCATAAACTTCTTATACTTATTACTTATGACATTAATTATTATATTTTATTAAAAATTTAACTATAATTAGGTTTTTTTTTTATTTTTTAACAATAAAAAGTTTAACTATAGTTAGGTTTTTAATTATTTTTAACAATTTAATAATAATACAAATTCTTAAATGGACCTAATTCACACTAATTTATTGTGGACCACCAACATTAGAGGCAATATGATTATTTTATTAATAAAAAAAGTCACTATATTAAAATAAAGGTTATTATGTTGAAATAAACGGTAGTGTGATATTAAAAACTAGAAGAGATTAATCTTTTTAATTAAATTTTAATATAATGGTCAATATGAATAATAAGAATCACTATGTTAAAATTAGGTCACTATTCAACATAACGTCGTACTTTAATTTCACAATAACATTAAAGGTCACACAATTTTTTAAAAAAAGATTACTATGTTAAAAATAAAGTTCCTATATTAAAATTAAGGGACACTATGTTCTATATAATGTTAGTTACGTGTATATAAAACATAGGTCCACAATAATATTACTGTAGACCAGGTTCACACAAGATTTTCTATAATAATTATACTAAAATTAAAAAAAAAATCAACCACCCTTCCCCCACCCGCTGCCAAGCCTCCCTCCCCCTGCTGGCGGCCGGCGGCCCTACCCAACCCCCGACGTCGGCAACCTACCTTCCCTCCTTCCCCCCTCCCCATCCCGACATCTCCCAAACCACCACCTCTAATCTCCCACCAGTCAGCCACCTTAGCCCAGCAGCCTCCCCACAACCGCCACCAACGCCTGACCCTTCCTCACCACGCCGGCGCCGCTCCTCCTCTCAACCCTACGCCACTGGCCGCCCATTCCCTTGAACCACCATACCCCCTCCCTCCTATTGAATCGTAAAAACCTCTCTCCGCCCTTCCACCTTAGCTAAACATCATGCAACCACCCCGAAACCCCTTCGTCAGCAGCCCAGGTCCCCTCCCCCACGTCGCCGCTGCCCACCATAGCCAAATTTCACCACCTCGAAACCCTAAAACCCCAAAATTGAAATCCTAAAAATCGATTTTGGGGCTTTTAATTTTGGGGTTCAACGTGGTGTTATAGAGGGTGGAGATGGTCGGGGAAGGGCGGTTTGGGTTTGTCGGTGCGAGGCCGAGGGTGAGGGAGGTCGGGCGTAACGCCAGCAGGGGCCTAGCCGCCGGCAGGGGAGGGGTTG